CCGGGGAGGTCGCATGTGCGATGTGCGACACTCCGCTAATCAATGTATGATGCATTCCACGGGATGCGGCGGGCTGTGTTTGGAAGACGATGTCCAGAGGCGGTCGAGTGTTTAGTACTATGCGCCAAAGATGCAGCGTCAACGTGACCGCGAGGAGACGCGACGCGTCGATGTTACCTCGTGTTGGGCGTAGTGGAGCCGTAAACCTGAACAAGTGGTTCGGATGCAGCACAGGAAACAACTTAGCACCTGACTCCAACAAACCTGTTGGGTTTCGAACTGCATGAGGTGGCGAAGTCGCTGGAGCGAGATAAACATGTCGACACGACCGACCATTATCAGGTCGCTGGCAACTGGCTTTCTTCCGCGCCAGCATCAATGCCGAACGAGACCATGGGGACGATTCTCAAACCGCGACCGGCAAGTAGCATCTCTCGGTGCCTGATCAGTTTAGAGGGACACTGTCTGGCAAGACAAATGAAGCTCATCAACAGCAACGCAGAGAAAGGACTGTACTACGACATTCTCGTACGGCCGCGATGACATGTCACGGCAATGATCTTCCGCTGATATCTATCGCACACTGTAGAACACTGTGGGCCAGCTGTGCGAAAGATACATACCGCACACCTATGAAGGAGCTCCTTCCCCGTACCTCAAACGGACGATAGTCGATCAGGTGAATACCATGCGAAGCTTTGCTTCGCGCGCCACAATATTGACCGTGACTGCCCTAGGCAATCCTCAAGCACCCCGTTCTTAAGAGGTATGAGGACGCTTGGCCGGTCACAACCATGATTTCGATGCATCGTCAACTTCGCAAGAGTAAGAACAAGAGGGGGATCATGGGGCGCAGCATCGCTGAGTCAGTAAGTACAGGCGGATGGACAGAATTACTAGTACCGCTTACAGTTCTACTTCACAGGAAGGCTTAGCGTCGGGCCGCAGAACAACAGGCTTACACAGTGCTCGAGCGAGTCAGCGCAAGGAGCACTGCGATAGTCGTGGATCATCACGTAGGGTCTGTATGGCGATTAGCAATCATCAATAGTACGCACTCACGTCTGCAATGTTCACCAGGCTACCCCTAGAAACATTGCAACGCCACGCACAAGGGCGGTATCAGCAACGCTTGGTACATCTCAAGCAACGTCAGTCAGCGTGGTTGTGAGAACACGAAAGCCAACTACCGCCATCGAGGACTTCTTGCAAGCGTTGCCCCAAGATTTGCGCTTCTTGCTTCCAACCTTCATTCAATACGGCGTCAAGGATGAGCCGTCACTCCGCGGAATGCTTCAGATGAGGGAATGGCGCCGCTGGCTGTACAGCTGGGTGAAAGAGGGACGGCTGACTGAATTGCAGTTCGAAATGGTGAGCAACGGACTTGCTCGGATCATGTAGTTGATGCAAAGAACGAGGGCTCACAAGTGCTTCGACTGCACGTCTGTTACCGAGTTCCAGTGGTTGGTTTTCATTCAAGAATTGGAGCGGGTTTCTTGAAGATATCTCGAAATATTGTGGATACGAAGCGAAGTCAAGCCGCAGGATCGAGCTGCATTTCTAGTAGTACAGTGGAGATAGAATACATAGCGGTATGAGATGATCCTAGCAGAACCGATCACTGAAAGAGAACCAACCATTAGGGCCATCCTCGCACGGCAATCAAAAATGCTACTGACCTCTTGAGCTTCGCACGTCTGTCGAGCAAAGCTTCAGCGAGGCGGCCTTCCTTCTTCGCTTTCTTGAGCTATACAACATGAGTTAGTTGCGAAATAATGCTACACATGACCGCAAGCAATGTACCTCTTTCTTATCCCCTGAAGCGACGACAGTGCGACCTGCTCCCCAGGCCTGGTATATCTTACTGGAGAGGTGTCAGTTCACGGCGTGACTCTGTTCGGCGCAAGACTTACTTTGTGCTCGCCTCGTCGATGGACGACGAATCAATCAAGCCTTCCTTCCTCTTCTTCTCTTCGTCATGCGCCTCTTTCTTGTATTTGCTTTGGATCTTCACCCAGAAGCGTTCCCGGAATCCGACCTCCTCGCTATCGCCGCGTAGGGCTAGCTGCCCGCCTGCAACCTCGTCCACGCTCAGGTATTTCTCGTAAACGTTTTGGAACGCGACCATCCCATCGGGAAAAACAACAGGCGTCCACTCCTCCTGCGGACCGCGGGCTTCGCGGTCGGCAGAGACGATACCGTGCTTGTCGCATGAGATGAACTTCCCCTCACCCACACCTGTCCGCAAGTTGATCGTCGACGCTCCGGCCACGCGAGTTACGACCCACACCTGCGACACGTCGGTCGGTGTGCGTTCCAATACACTGGGAGATTCCGAACTGTCCGACTTGTCCTTGTCGACTGATTGAAGCAGGATGCGCCCCCGCGTCGAGTCGTACGTGATGCATATTGGCGAGGGATCGGAAGGGTGCAAAATGAAGGTGGGTCCGCGGATCTCAATTGGGTTCTCTGGTAGGACCCATGTCTCGGGGGCTTCGTTGCCGTCCTCCTTGCGCCGCCGCCTGCTAGGTCCCTCCTCGGTATCCTCGTGCTTGCGCTTCTTCTTCGTCTTCTCCCCCTTGAACTTTAGCTTTGTGGGTCTGACTTTGTCTGTAGACATAGCTGGGAAAGAGTAGGATTATCGAGAGTTTCCGAGATATATCAGCCCAGGGAGAGAGGGAGTGAGCGAAGTGGCTGTAAGCAAGCTGCGATGACGGGCGCTTCACTAACAACAGCGTCACGGAGCGGTTTCCCGTGACACCCTGTGACACGCCGGGGTTACGCGTGACTTCTCATCGCTAGCGTCTGCTTGTAGGAAGGAGGAAAATCTGCCATCGTCACCGCCGACATCCTCAAGACCCTCAAGATGAAGTTCAACCCCGGTCAGTACTCTTCCATTGCAGAAAGAAACGCTGTCGGAACGCTCTTGAGAAGTTTCGTGGCGGAGAAAGAGGTGGAAATGGCTGGATGGGGACTTGGCGTTATGGATGTGGTGTATACGGTCAGTACAGTATGCTGACATCCGGATCCCTCTCCCTGCAGACGTCTCCTCCTCCCGCCGCAAGTCGCGCAAGGCGCACTTCTCTGCGCCCTCCTCTGTGAGGCGCAAGATCATGTCCTCTTCGCTCTCCAAGGAGCTCCGCGCGAAGTACAACGTACGTCCCCCTTGTCGGTAGGTTCTGCATGGACAGGCCTGTAACAGCACAAAACAGACGCGGTCAATACCCATCCGCAAGGATGACGAGGTCCGGATCGTTCGGGGCAAGTACAAGGGTCGTGAGGGCAAGGTCACCCAGGTGTACCGCAAGAAGTGGGTGATCCACGTCGATCGCGTCCAGCGCGACAAGTCGAACGGCGCGTCCGTCCCCATTGGCATCCACCCCAGCAAGGTTGTTGTCATCAACCTCAAGCTCGACAAGGACAGGTGCGGTGATGCACATTTTTGGAATATATGGTTGATATTGACGCCTCGCTTAGGCGGGCAATCCTTGAGCGCAAGGACAGGAAGAAGGCTGCGAAGGCGGAGGATGTCGAGATGACTGACGTATGTGACCCTGCTTCACTGCTGCTGCTTCCCGTATTGACCAGTCCTTGCAGTAATTTTCTCGGCTCTCTCGCTTTTTGTACTTCCTGGCTTTCCCCTGCATCCTCTCTGCAAAATCTCGCATGTATGTATGCCCGCTACGCACATGTTTATGCTACATGGGCCCCAGGCCGCCCCCACTGCATTCTGAAGTGCTCGCTGGAAAAAAGGGGTCGTACGACCACTCGCAGAGTCATGCATTTGTATTGTACACGGAGAAGATGGGTATCATATTCGATGACATCTCGGAGGGTGGGGAAGACAGTGTCCGTGGAATATTGGCAACGCCTCGCCGTCAGAAAATGACATCCTCATCCTTGCTACCCAGCAAGTCTCCGCCTCCGCCGGCCAGGTCTGGAGGCAATTGAACAAGTTCTGCGGCCTCCTTCTGCTTCCGAGCCGCTTCTGTAGCCTCTGCGTCTCGCTTCTTCTTGCCTTGCACTTTCTTGAGCCTGCCCACCGAATGATCGTATCATCAGTCCTTTCTGCTAGTTCATGTATACTCACCGGAAGAACTCCTCCCTGTCCATCTCGTCAAGTTCACTCGTGATGTATTTGATCGTGTTCTCGAGACGAGGGATGATGACATGTTCGATGGCATTGACTCGGCGGTTGGTTGCGCGAATGACTTCGTCGAGGATCATGAAGGCTGTCTGGAGAGACGCAAGATCCACGAGCGTCTCAACCGCCTTGGCGTATACTTCCTTCGCACGCAAGACTTGCTGGCCACCACGTCCAAGACCGGTCAAGTTGAAGTCTAGTGAAATATATGCACGTCAGTGAGACGTCCACCTTGTGAGAGAAGATGCGTGCGCACCAGATCCGGGTACCCTGTCGACTTCAAACGCGGGTAGGACGACACCCGATACGTTCTCCTGCCTCGCCTTGACCTTGAACGAGGCAGACTTTGCCTGCTCCTGGACCAAGTAGGAGATGTCGCCCGTAGCGTAGGTGACCTCGGCGAGCGAGAACGATGCAAGCTGCATCACCCGGCCCATCTTTCGTTTGGCCTGAGGGGTAGAGCACACTTAGCTGAGGGAATTCCAAGGAAATCAAGTGAACGTTATGCCGAACCTCATCGACTCTGCGCAGGATAGCCCTGAAGCGGGTAGTAAGAGCGTCGCGCTTCTTTGCGAGGAGTGAGTGGCCAGTCTGAGCTCCCTTCAGACGGAGTTTGGTATTCGTCAGGGCCATCCGCGTAGGAAATATGTTCTCTCTAGGCCCTGTTCCGGACATCTTGCCAAGTCTTGCAACAGATGAACACCTAGAGAGCGCCGAACGAGAGATGTATCAGAGCAGGACCTTCAGGCAAGCAGCTGCCAGAGTGAGAGCAACTGCGTATGATTAGGACAGACGTCAGTGATAGCGGGCTGCCTAGCCGGGTGATATTATAAGCTGATGAAGGCCTCTGAGTATCGCCGGGATAGCTCAGCTGGGAGAGCAACAGACTGAAGCGAGTTGTGGCGCTCCGCTGCGTTCTGGAGGTCGCGTGTTCAATCCACGCTCCTGGCATGTTTTGTCATTTGTTTTCCTCAACCGACGGTGTGGTCTGTGATGCGCTACTTTGCGGAAAAAGTCGTCAACGTCGCAAGGATGGATATATCATTGTGTAGTTTAAGTAGGACTAGAAGGTTGTGTATGGCCGGAATCGCAGTTGCAAAAAAGAGACTTTGTGACCAAGACGATCTGCGCAGCATGTCCCCGCAATAGTGCGCCCATACCCGTTGAAACATGGGCTATACAGATGGCACATTGGCATCAGGCCACACAGAGTCACGGCCCCAAGGGAACCAGACTGCAGTGCAATCTCACCTTCCTGCAAATTAGCAGGTATGCCACATTGCAGCTTTGTGGTAATCCGAGAAGGCCTCACGCTATACGGTTGTGGCAAAAAAGTTGGCTACATAGCATATGACGGCACACCTTGCTAAGAAGTCTGCATTATGGTCAGAGCAATGTACAGAGTCCGGTGCAGCGATAAATACAGCGTTAGGCAATGGTATATTTGCCGTAGTCCTTGTCCGGGTCGTAGACCTATCGACGATGGATCAGCGTAGGCGCCAGATTGAGGACTACTATACACACCTCCCAGCGAGAAGCGGGGAATATATGCTTGTTGCGGTTGTACCAGCTGCGCTCAACCACCTTTCCGGCGTGCGACTCGTCTTTCTCGACAGTCGCGTCGGCGAGAAGGCGCACGTCGTCGTGGACGTCAAAGTTAAAGAGAGGGCCGGACTTGCCGCGAGCCTTGTTGACAATGAAGTCGTAGAAGGTATAGTGCTACGTGCCATAGTTAGCTCGCGAAGCCATCAGGGACCGGGTGAGGGCGAACATACGTGAGGGATGATGAGATCCTCCTGGAGAAGCGGTCAACCAACCTACCACGCAGTTGCACACTAATGCTACGTACCTTGATGTACATCAGATTGTCGACGCTGATTCCCCGCAGCTCAGGGAACTGCTGTCGGCACTTCTCGAGGAAGGTAGCAATACTGTCGCCCTTCTTGCACTACATCGCGAGAATAGGCGTACACCATGCAAGTGCCTACGTGGTCAGTCCTGCCATTAGCTTCAAATTAGCGGGAAACCTACCGTGACACTCTTCCGATGTCCACTGCCGTCCCAGTACGAGTACGTGATCTCGACTTCCTCATTCTTGAGTTCCTCCTGCTTGCGCAGCCACTCTTGCCGGAGCGCTTCTCGCTCCCGTCGTTCAGCCTCCTCGCGCTCACGGTCAGGCAGGAAGGAAGTATCGACTTCGGGGTTCTTGCGCGACTTCGCCTTCTTCACGGGAGGCTCTCCGTTTGGCTCGCCGCCTTGCGATGCCGAGCCGCTCTCTTCCTCACCCTCTTCGTCATCGAGGGCGAAGGACAGCGTGGCCTTGTTCGTCTTCTTGCGCTTCTTCACCTTTTTCGCATCTCTAAACAGGTTCTCCACCCAAAGTAAGCAGTCTGTCACTGCGCCCGGACGCGCGTGCGGCGTCCGGCATCGAGAAAAGCGTGACCACCTACTTGAGCTCGCTCGTCCGCGCCGCCTCACGAGCCTTGGCCTCTTCAAGCTCTCGCCTGCGCTGCTGAAATTCCTCCAGGTGCACGAGTCCGACGGTACTCTGCTTGAGCGTGTCCTCCATAGAGTCATTCTGCCCGACGAAGCGGTTCGCAGACGGACGGGCTTTCTCCGTTTCCTGGATGAGGGTCTGCTTCTGCCTCTCAAACTCTTGGCGCATCTGGTCGCGCTGCTTCGCAAGAGCCTCCTCGCGGCGGCCTTCGGCTTTGCTTGTGGACATGGTGGTGGCAAGCTCCGGGCGTTGTGGAGGTCGAGGAACAAGAGTGCGGGAGGCGTAGACGCTGGGCGTTGGCGCGCATCTTGCGGAATGCTATGGGCGCTTGTGTACGTTCCTTCTCTCGACCGCTGCCACCGACGACCGTCTCTCCGGGTTTCTGGTTGTACGGACTCTCTGCCCTCGTCGCCATGCAACTTCTCGGTATACGTCTGCCCGATAACCACTTTGTCAAGGTGTGCACCAGTACTCGACCGACGCACTCTCTCAGCCGCTGACCAGACCTGCACCCACAGCACGCCTTGACACAATTCTACGGCATCGGCAACAAAACCGCCCTCCGCCTCTGCGCCCGCGTGCAGATCCACGAACGGTGCAGAATCCGGCACCTGAACCAGTCCCAAGTGACCGCCCTCACCGCCTTCCTCTCCTCGCCCGCCAACTCGCCCCCCGCCGCCTTCCAGCCGCTCGCCCCGCCCAACTACGTCCCCCCGCCGCTCTCGCAGCCCGTGCCCGCCCCGGCGCCGCGCGAGGGCGAGCCCGTGCCTGCGGACACGCTCCGCGAGATCAAGATCGAGTCCGACCTCCGCAGGCAGATGCGCGAGAACATCGCGCACCAGCGCAATATCGGCTCGTACGTCGGCCGCAGGCACGCGATGCACCTTCCTGTGCGCGGCCAGCGCACGCAGAGCAACGCGAAGACGGCGCGGAAGCTCAACAGAGTCGAGCGGTACAACTGAGCGTTCCGTTTCGCTTGGGATGCAGCAAGGGCAGGGAGGGGGTGGTTGCTGGGCCTGGAGCGGCCCTCCTTCCTTGCTCGTTTTCTTGGTGAGTTGCGTTTCCGTCTGGGTGCCCCGTGCTCGACCGCACGTCCCAGGCTGGCATCCGTGCGTTCACGGGCAGCACTGACAAGTGACTGATCGTCGTGCACAGTTTTGCTCGCTCGCCCCATCCGCGCACGCACTTCAACCCCCGTCGTGCCTGCAGGGTCCTGCGTGCGCCTTCTCCCGCCTGCTGCGATATACATAGAAGAGTGGTCATCGGGATCGTAGCGGGAACTATTGTACACACATCCGTACTGCGGTATATCTAGTCTAGTCGTCGCCCACGGGCACTTCCTCCTCCAGGTACTTCACGAGCGTCACGCGGATCTCCGTCGTCTCGTCGCCGCGGAGCACGTCCGACACGAACGTCGCCTGCACTTGCATCTGGACCTGCCACGCACGCACGACGAGGTTCAGCACAACAAGTTCCGCGAGCGGTGGACGGTAGGTATACTGAATGTGGGCCTGGGGCGGGCGCGGGAGAAGTGCGCAAAGGGATCGGATCCGCGCTGGGCACGGCCGGGTGTGTGTGAAATGTGCACAAGGGGGCAGCAGGACGTACCATCTCCAATGCGCCTCTGATAACACCGCAGAGGACGTTGCTGAACCAGAGGCCGCCCTCGAGGGCCTCCTCGGGCAGCTCGACGAACTCCGCCAGGGGATTCTCGTCGAACTGGAGTGTGAATGATGTCCCGGGTGCATTGGCTGGCGGAGGAGGCATGCTCGAGCGGGTCGGAGACGATGCAGGGGGGAGTGCGCCGTGCGTGACGGTCGGAGTGATGTTCAGGAACGATTTGAAGCCGACCTGCGATTCCGTGCACGCAGCGGCGAGGTCAGCAAACGCGGATACGCGGCCAGGAGAGCAGCCCACGCCGAGCCCATGCTCTCCGCACTTGAGCGGTGATGGGGACATGAGCGCACGTACCTTCGCGACGACCTCGCCGACCTCACGAAAGTCGGCACAGCGCCCGAGCCCGCTGCGCGCGAGGAAGTCCTCGATGAGGCGCGTGCCGATGTTGTAGCCCATCTTCTCGAGCTGCTTGTTCACCTCCGCGTAGTCCTCGTAGTCCTGCACGAGCTGCACGACCAGCGCGCCGTACGTCAGCGCGAACAGCTCCGCGTTCTGTGGGGAGAGGTGTCCTCGATGAGCTCGTCAGGTGCTACGGCCAGGTCGCGTAGACGGTAGGAGGGCGGGCGGGAGGCGGTATGTGGGTCGGCGGCATGGAGGGGGAGGGCTTACGATTTTCTCGGTTCGGCCTTTCCAGAGATCCTCTCCAATGGCCTTGTATTGCTTGCTCGTGGTCGCCATCGCGCGGAAGATCTAATGAGCTGTGAAGTGGGTGATCGAGGCCGTTCCAGCGCGTACGGTCGCAGTCAGCAATTGCAAGGCGTACTATGAGCGCGTACTACGCTCAGCTACTAGCAGAACAGGCGCCCATTCCTAATCAGGCAACGATACGAGCGCGCCTACTCAACGCCACAAGTACTCACGACGAGCGCTCAGAGCGGGAAGCGCAGGCCCGCGATCATCATGAACGGACCCGTTGTAGGCGCGCATCGGACTTCGCTATGCGGGAATAAGTAACGCGTCAGGAACGCTTTGTCTGAATTTGATAAAGCACGGGCAATGTATCGGCGGGCACGCGTTCTCGTGTCTGCTCGCGCACTCGAGCTGAGTTCGAGTTTCGCCGCGGACAGGGGCGGGTGGGACGGTTATATGACTGCTTCTGCGCGGTAGCGTGCAAGAAGGCGGACGAGGGCCGTTTAGGTTCAAGCGTCTGATGTGTGTGCGTGTGCGCGACTAATGCATGACGATGTGATTGTATGGAATTACACGAGTGTGCTGACGTCGCTAAGAGGCAGCCCGACACGGAGCCGTGTAGAGGTCTGAAGGCTGGCAATATAAGCTAAGGCTACAGGGCCATCAGAGGCATGCTGACGTGGATATGACAGGGGAGACGACCGCGAAGCGGACGAGTTTGTGCGGTTCCCACAGGGGATCCACGCGGAAGGCAAGACGTCAGCGCGTCGACGGAACGTGGGCGTGGCTGGCGTAAACGTCGGGCGGACGGACTGAATGGCGAAGCTCTCACAGAGATCCGGCAATTGACGGAGAGCGGGGGGTTGGCGCGCAGGCGGAGTGGGACGCAGCGCGAAGCTAGCCAAACTACCGCCGGGAGACGCAGGGTTGAGAAGCTCGTTAGTGCTGTGGCCACGGCCCACGGGTGTGGGTGGGAAGGAAGGAGGGGCAGGAGCGCGGACGGAAGAACCTCGCGGGGAGGGGTGTGGGAGGATGCGCGAGATGTGGGCTGCAGCTGACGGATGAGAGAAGTGAGAGCGGAAGCGGAAGAGGGAAGGATGGAAGGGAGGCTGGGGGGCATATGACCGGGGGGATGGGCAGATGGAGT